CACAGGAGGTGGAAGATCATACCCTCGCTACAGCCTGTTCCCAAGACTCCTCATGTATTCGAATTCCTAGTTCTCCTTCCCATGTACACTTAAGCTTAACATTAGAGTGGTTACTAAAAGACAGAATAGCATCATAGAGTTTCGAAATAACGTAGTTTCCCACTGCTGTTCTGGAGGTAAAGAGGGGAAATTTGGGGAACACTTGGCAACAAAATTTCGAATTTGAAAAGTTTTGTCTGTTTTTGACCAGCGGGCAGTGAGATTAACTGCAAGTGGGCCTGCTGACCAGTGAATAATCATAAGCATCTCCTTTTCACAAGTTTTAATTCTCCTGAACTTGAATCTGTTTCAGGTAAAGAGGAGCTGCCATGTTGGCCTCCTCCATCCCCCCGTCACTCCTCCTCTTCCTCCACATCCTCTCCCCTTTCTCCCAACCTGTGGATGCCTCGATACATGTGGAGTTGAAGGGCGCCCCCCTGTCGCACCTGCTCCTGGATCCTGGAGCGGGACGTATTTATGTGGGCGGGGTCAATAATCTGTACCAGCTGACCACTGACCTCGAGGTGTTGTTGCACGTAAAGACCGGCCCTTACCGGGACTCCCCAGAGTGCCTCCCACCAATCGTGCTCCAGGAATGCCCATCAGCCAAGGACACCGACAACTACAACAAACTGCTGCTGATGGAGACGGGGCAGGGGGCGGAGCCAGGGAGTCTGATAGTCTGTGGATCACTGTTCCAGGGAATCTGTGAAAAGAGGTACGTCAGTTTACTGCGCTAGTTTTCCTCACTGTGTTCCCAGAGTTTATCCAGATACATTTTTCTCACACATGTGTTCTTTGCATGTATCAAAGGTGAGTGATGTCTGGATTAGCCAAAACACGTATGAAGAATGACTTTTCTGTCCTGTCTTTCTCTGCAGGAGTCTGTCCAATATTTCTCAGCTCATCTATCAGACGTCCAATCCCGTTGACACTCAGTACGTCGCAGCCAACGCTCCAGGTGTCTCCACTGTTGCCGTGGTAATAACCACGAAAAATAAGCAGGAAGGGGGTGGGGATGGTGACGTGCTGCGTCTGATGCTGGTTGGTCGAAGCTACACTAGCAAAGGCCCTGGCGACATCCCACCAATCACGACACGGCGGCTGTTTCCAGTGGTTCCACCCCGCAGAGCGTTCTCTCAGGAGGAGGAGCTTGGAAAACTTGTTGTAGGAAGTTACTCCGATTACAACAACCACTTTGTGAAAGCCGTTGTCCATGGCAACCATGTCTACTTCCTGTTCTCACGGCGGCACAAGAAGGAGTACCGGACTTACGCCTCCAGGCTCTGCATCTCTGATCGCAGCTTCTACTCATACGTTGAGGTGCCGCTGCTGTGCCAGGGTGGGTATAACCTGGCACAGGGTGCGTGGTTAGGAAACCACTCAGGTGAACCTCACCTGTTTGTCGTCATGGCAGCGGGGCAGGCGTCCACGCCCGTAGCAACAAATCGTTCAGCTCTCTGCGTTTATGGCATGGCGGAGTTAGACACAATGTTGCGGAGAGCACAGGAAGTGTGTTACACAGAGGGAGGACAAGGCAGCGGTGGAAAGGAGGAGGCCTACATCGAGTACGGCGTGTCATCAAAATGTCTCAAACTGCCGAAGGTAAACTCACAAACACCTGAGCAGTGTTGGGGTGATCAACAAAGTAATCTATGAATTTGTCCCCAGAGAAAGTACTCATTACGTTACTTTCTTGCTACTCTGTAACGTGACCTGAAACACAATGTAAACCTGAGGCTATGTAAGAACACAAAGCCGACATAACAAAGCAAAGTTTGAAACCAGCTCAATGAGACTTCAAAGTCGTCGCCACGATGATTTTGCTGTAGAAACATGAACAGAAGTGGAGGCTGCGTCACTTAATCGCTGCCTTTGCTACCTGTTGAAGCTCAGGCGCTGGATGCAGGCCTGGGGTCAGCACACATTCAGCTTTAGCATTACACCGGCTTCTTCGTTAGCTCTGTATTAGCATGCTGTCTGTGCAGATGCTCACAAAGAGTCGATGTTAGCGGTATAACACTGTCATTTTTGTCCTGGACACAGTTTGCACTTTATATAATCATGCTCTTGTAATAAAAGCGATTTCCATATCACCACTCAACAAATGTTGTTGACCACTAAACCATTTCCCTCCTCCTTGTACACAATCAAAACGAGGTGTTTGTTTTTTGCGTAGGGGTGCAGAAGAAAAAGTGAATGTTTTTTTCTTTCTATCTGCTCAGTGTGCACAGAACTAAAGAACCTTTGTAATGCAAGTAATGACATAATTGCAACTGTAGCGCAACTACTGAATTTCGTACAGTAACTCATTACATTACTGCATGACTGAAAAATATAATGTGGTACCAGTAACATGTTGCAGCCAGCATTGGCACTGGGGATGGCTGTAGCTCGGGAGGTAGAGCAGGTCATCTACTAATCAGAAGGTTGGTGGTGTTCATACCAAATATCCTTGGGCAAGATACTAAATCGATACTCTTCGATGCTTCTGTCAGAGAATGAATGTTGGATAGAAAGCACTAATGTAGATTTAACACTTACCATTACTGGCTGTGAGTAACCTCCTTACCTGGAACACTCACTAGCTTGGTGCACATAATACATGCATAATGTATTTTGATTATGCAAATCATTATTATTCTTTTTATTTGGGGGGGTAGCCCCTCCTAAAGTGAATGAAAGCTGTGGTTTCAGTTTTCTATGCAATAACTTTGTGGCATAGTAGTTGTGATAATATCAGTTCTACATTGAAAATATATATGAATGGACTGATGCCAAAGCTTCAGTTCAGGCAGACCACAAAGTCGAGCTTATTTGTAATCAGCTGATTTTTACCCTTTGACATGTCCAACTGGTAAATCTCATATAGGACATGCTTTTTAAGCTGCTTTTCCCTCCCAATGGTTGCTCTGATCTGCAAGTCACTTTGCAACCCACCTTCCCTTCAGGTCCTTAATTTCATGTTTTTTTAAATAAAGTTGACCAATCTGTTGTCTTTGCTGCTGCTCTCAGAAGTAGGTCCAAGCAAAGAGCGATAGAGCCAAATATAAACTCCAGATACTGCAGATGACAGAGTCAGAGTTACTGCTAGTAATGAGAGTGCAGTACAGAAGTGTGGAAAACAATGGGACAGTAAACTTGTTCCAATGAGAGTCCAAAGATGACCCCACGGATCGCTGAGGTCCTGGTCGGCCAAGTGGGACATCGTATGACATCACATTTTACATGTGATGACATCACAGATTAGCAGCTGCTTTAGGGAAGAAGCTGTCGATGGTTGTCATCTGCCTCGCTGCTGACCTTAATACTGTGTGTGTGTGTGAGTGAGTGTGTGTGTGGATTAGAGTGGTTATCTTCAGCATCTGGACTTATCATCAGACAGCTGCCACTCAAACACAGAGCTTGTAGCACAGAGCTGACCCACATAGAGCAAAAACACACAGATTAAAGTGACAGGCTGAGTGGAAAAAAGCACGAGTTTTAAAGGTGAATGGAAGCAATATTGTTCGTGTGTTTGTTTGTGTTTAGAGACGTAAACAGATAAAGCAGGGCTGACCACATACCTGTGTTCACTGGCTTCTCTCTCTCTGTTTATTCATCTACCAGGACTCTCTCTCAGAGTACCCCTGTGGAGGGGAACACACCCCCAACCCCATCGCTAGCGCCGTGCCCCTCAAAGCCACGCCCATTGTCAACTCCACTATACAGCTGACCGCTGTCACCACAGCGACTGAGGCGGGCCACACCATCGCTTTCCTGGGAGACAGAAAGGGACAACTGCAAAAGGTGACACCACCAACATGTTTTACAGCCGTTTCACACATGAAGTAGACGGCGTCGGCTGGGCCATTGACCTCAGTTACCCTTTCCCACATGTCGCACACAACAGCTGAGGTGCAGATTGTGGCTGAACATGGAGCGATAAGACACATGATGCTTAATCTCCCTGCTGTGAATTTAGCAGACAGTCACTTGTTGTTTAAAACCGTTTGTACTCTCACATGAAAAGTTTTGGGGAGCAAATGCATAAATGAATAATGCTTAATTGAACAGGCTTTAGACCCCTCCACTCTAATGGAGCTGCTAAGAGACCAGCTGGTGAGACTGGTTTTTACTTGGCAGTGAAAAGGCCTGTTTAGGCGTTTGTGTCGCCATCTCTAGCTACAGGGAGGAATCAGCTGTTTCCTGTTTATGTTGTAACTGGAAGGTCTGAAGAGAAGCACCAGGAAAATGATCACACACACACACACACACACTGAACAGAGCAGCTTGTAGCCTGAAGCTCTTTATAAGCAACACAATGATGCACTCTATGTATGCGTGTGTGTGTGACTAACAGGCGTTTAGCTCGAGGGTGTGGTGCGTTTGGGAAGAGTGGGTGGTGTTGGGGAGGGTCACATGGGAGCATGCTCAGACTTTTGTTGTTGATTGGTGATTGGTCTCTCAGGTGCAGTCTGGTAAGAATCCAGCAGGACACCCCTGAAGCTTTTAACTGGGTGTAAGTGTGTGTGTGTTTGTACTTGTACATGTGGCTTATGAGGACCCAGTCTTTCACATTGTTAGAGAGGACATTTGAAAAGTGATGAGATTCTGTACCCAATTGTTCTCGCTGCGGGACACCTTAAGATTTTCCATTTCATTTCGAAGTTTTTATCAAGTTCAAGTTTAGGGTAAGGGTCCTGGGACTCCACCGTGTGACTCATAGTCCTCGCAAAGTTAGAAGGACAAACTTGTGTGTGTGTGTATGCGTTAATGAGCTCTAATCTTGCCTCGGAGCCTCAGCGAGGTAAACAGCAGAGCTTTGATTCTCCCCATTAATATTTAATCACACACACTGTAAATGTTTCAGGGCCTCCTGCTGGATCCTTACCCAGAGTGCACCTGAGGGACCAATAACCAATCAACAAGAAGCATGTACAAGTGCAACACCACGTTTTTCGCTGCGAACCCGGGCACTTGTTAACTGCTGTGCTTCTGTTGGGATTGTGAAATAGTGAATCTATCAGAAAGATGCTCAAGCACCAGTTTCTCCAGCATGTGACGCTCCTGCAGTGTTTCTGTGGGCGTGGCACCCGAGGCTATCCAAACTAAAGAAACACATATGCACATGTTTACCTCCTGCACTTTAACATATCTAAAGGCAGAGTCCCTGCACATGTTTTGAATTTTTGTGCGGATGTATACTAGAAGCACAGCGACTCCTGACTCCTCTGCTTGTAAAAGGACTTTTAGTTATGTAGAAATCGATGTGAAAGCAGCTCTGGCTCCTTTGCCCTGTAGACTTTGTGGGCTCACTCACTTGTTTCAGGTCATTCAGGTCGTTATGAGTGGGGGTGGCTGTTCTTCAGGAGGTAGAGAAAGTCATTTACTAATCAGAAGGTTGGTGGTGCAAATTCTGGCTGCTGTAGTCTGCATGTCTCAGTATCTTTGGGCAGGATACTGAAGCTGATCTCTGATGCGTTCATCGGAGCATGAATGTGTTTGAATGTAAGATGGAAAGGACTCAGGTGTAGAAGAAAGTGCATGTGTGAATGGATGAATGAGAAATGCTGTATGAAGTGCTTTAAATGCCCAAGTTGAGTAGATAAGCAGTATATAAGAACTAGTCCGTTTACTGTTAAAACACAAATATGTTTCTTTTAACAGTCAGAGAAGATAGTCTCTGTCTTTTTAAATTGTTAAACATAAATGAACCCGTGATGGTTCAGTTTCCCAGTCAGAAAAACCTTTTCCTCATTGCATCCTGTTTAAAAGAAGAAGATGGTGATGATGAAAATGCTCAGCTTTAAACTCCACTAAGCATTGTGTTTTTAGGTTATTGCAGTCTGCGGTGCAGAAGTGTCTCCTGAAGTCAACTTTACACCCTGATGCCTTTAGGTGAAATCCAGGAGACAGGTTCGCATTTCTACAGGAAAAAGCAGTAACAGTACTTCAATTCTTCTAAAAAACTCAGTGTTTCACAAACTCACAGCATGAAACGTGACAAAAGTATTTGAGTGAAGATTGAACACAGAGGGATAAGAGAGACACTAAAGCCCTGCCATACCTTTATACTTGCACACAATTGACCAATCAGTGAGTGACGTGGCTGAGATATGGTAGAGATTTAAAGAGTTTCTACTTTGTCGGGATGCTGCTGTTCCATCTCAGCAAGAATAACTGGATGTGGCACAGCAGGATGGAGTCTGTTCAAACTCAAACGATCCTCCTTTCTGCATTTTTCACAGTCTGAATTGTTCTCTTTGTCACACGCTGCTGATAGTGGAGGTGCCTTCAGGGGTGTTGTCGGGGTGAAGCAGCTCCACCTGCTGGCGGGTTGTTGCTGCTGCGGCGCTGCTGCTTTCATGTTGTCACTTTACTGAAATTAAATGTTGATGATCATCATTTTTACTTGTCACAACATTTCAGCTCTTAGACGTTTTATATTTGCTGACACGAGTTTCTCCGTCTTGAGTTAACTTTTTCAAAATACTTCACACAGTCGGCACAGCAGGAGTCCACATGAAAGGATCACGTCTCATCGCTCGAGCAGGAAAGGCATTCAGTGACAAATACTGTGCAGCAGAGAAAGAGCGCTCTTTTGTTGTACTCAGAACAAATAAACAATGCGCAGTACGCAGAGATGTGTGTTTGTGTTTTAGTGGCATTAGTACAGATCCAGAACATCTCAGGGTGTGGATGGAGTCAGCCAATTAGTGAAACTGGGATGGAGTCAGCCAATTTTCCGCCCTTCACTGAGATCTACTGACAGCAGGGAGGTTCCGACCAGGGCCAACCTGTTTCTCTCTGTCTCCGTGTCTCTGATCTGGAAGTCAGTCATAGGGTTTGTCAGTACCTGAAGTTGGAGACGGGAGGCTTGCTGTAGGAACCGTGATTAGAGGAGGCACAGGTGTACCCTCGGTGGACGTCTTTTCACCTGTGATGTTTAAAAGAGGCATTAGACATAGCGGGAGGACAATGATTCTCTTTTGTATTCATACCTTATGTTAGAAATCTGCTGTTCTCCAGTCGAGTGTGTGTGTGTGTGTGTGTGTGTGAGAGAGAGAGAGAGAGAGAGAGAGGACTCTTGTCACGTTCTGCCATAATGTGAGTTCAATAAAAAGTAACAAAAGCAGGAGGCTGTAACAGAAACCACCACAAAGGTTTACACACTGATGGGAGTGTCTCATGTGTAATTTGTTGTTTGGTATAAAGGACGCAGGAAAGGAGGTGAGGAAAGGGATTGAGGTTGCACAAACCAAACAACAGAACAGGCTGTATCCCAATTCAGGGTCTGCAGCCTTAAAGGCCGCATTTTAAGGCCGATTACGTCACAGCGATGCGACGAAGGCTGTCCCAATTCAAAGGCTGCTCGAAATGCGGCCCTCAAATGCGTCCTTCATTTCCCTGAATTTTAAGGACGTGGCGGTGTAGACTTCGTGGCCCAACATATCCCAGGATGCATAGCGCGGCGGTGGGTGTGGATAATTTTGCCGAAAAAAAATGGCGAATGGGGGGCACCCAAAGAGTAAACTTTAAGTATGTACTGAATATTATGTCACTTATTTATGTGCAAATGTTTAATAACAAAGAACATTAAAACATTCCTGTTGGCCACATGTCGGCAAAGTCATGTGACATTAGTGACGTTTGTACTAACTTGGTTTTAAAGCCTTTACTTTAAAATATACGCCGTTCAATAGCTGAGCTTAATCTGACAGAGAATGATCAAAGCTCATGTAGAAACAAAGAAACAAATGAACAAAAGATTTTCTCCTTCATTTCTGTCAAACAAAGCTGTATGAAACGTTTCCAGCTGTTAGTATCATGGTTGCTAGGCAACCTGGGCAGCGCAACGGAGGCTAGACCGTCCCATTTCACAAGCCTCGCACTTCCAGCCTTAGCGGTCTTTGAGGATCGTTGAGGCTGCAGACCCTGAATTGGGATACAGCCACAGTGTCGGACTCTGTGGACTCACCTGTGTTGTTGTTTTTCAGGTGTTGGTGATCTCCAGTCAGTCAGGCCATCTGTATGGCAGCGAGTTGGTGGACAGTGGCAGTGCCGTCAGCGCTGATCTCCTATTGGATGAGAGCCAGGAACATGTTTATGTTTTAACAAACAGCAGGGTGAGAGACAGTCGACCTCCTTCCTCAGTTCCTGTCTCACTTTCTTTTCTTCAGTTTTTTCCCTCCTCCTTCCTCCTTTTGTCCCAAATATCCAATCAGACGATCCATTTAAGAAAAAATGAAAACAAACCGTTTCCTGTCTTTCTCTCAGCTGTCGAAGGTTCCTGTGTCATCCTGTGAGAAACAGACAGACTGTCGCTCCTGTCTCGCTGTCAGAGACCCGTACTGTGGCTGGTGTGTCCTGGAGGGAAGGTAGGTCTACCTGTCGGCTGGTGGTTTGTAACTTTTTAAAAGTTTTATTCTTTATATCTTTTTGTAAACTTTATGTAAACTTTTTACTTTTTTTGTAAAAAGTCTGACTGACAGTAGAAGAAGAAAGTGTAGTAGATTTGGTTTGATCACAGCAGCATCTGCACGTTGATGTGACATCGCTCTGACGCCGTTTTGCGTTTGGTTGTTTGTTGCTGTTGTTGTTGTTACTAATCTGTAAATGTTTGTATTTTGTGCAGATGTTCCCGGAAACATCAGTGTCAGCGTCACCTGCAGCCCAACCACTGGCTCTGGAGCTTTGAACCGACCAGTCAGTGCGTGACAGTGCAGAGCCTGCAGCCGGCCAATCACAGCAAAGAAGAGCAGACGCAGGTAGGCTGCTGTTGTTTTGATCTGATTCTGACTGACAGCGTTATGATGCAGTCAGCCACTCCCGCAGTGATGACAGCCCGGGTCAGGGCACCCTTAGGTGTTGCTGGCAGGTGTCTGTATCAGTCCAGGTTGAAAGAAAACTTGAGGTGCTAGTTCAGCAGCTCTCTGATTGACTGAAGGTTGTGTTGTTGTGTTGGCTGTGTGTTATTGCAGAGGCACTGCAAGTCCAGCCAGTTCCAATCCTTCAGAAGATTCACAGCAGCCGATGAACATCTGCAGCAGCTGTTTACAGCTGCAGCGCTGACAGGATGAATGAAACATCTTCATATTTAGTGCCTCACCGAGTATCTTCAGGGTTTATAAGGATCAGCGCAAACATAGGAGTTATTGTGGACTGAGTGAAATGAATTCATCATCAACTTTATTTATAAAGCACTTAAAAACAACCACAGCTGACACAAAGTGCTGTACATTGGAACTGTAAAATAAAATTACATGAGATATAAGTAAAAACCAAATAAAAGAAGAGTGAAAACATTAAACCTCAATTAAAAGAGAAACTAAGTCTCACTGAGGTTAAAAGCCAAGGAATAAAAGTTTTAAGACGTGATTTAAAAGTGGACAGTGAAGGGGCCTCTCTAACGTGCATGGGCAAATTATTCCATAATTTTGGAGCCACAATAGAGAAGGCCCCGCCCCCTCTGAGCTTCCTCCTGGATCTCGGTACCTCCAGGAGCAGCTGGTCAGCTGACCTGAGAGACCGACAGGGTGTGTGGGGATGAAGAAGCTCAGAGAGGTAAGGCGGGGCAAGACTGTGAAGGCATTTAAAAACAAACATAAGAAGTTTAAAATTAACTCTAAAAGACACAGGCAGCCAGTGCAGAGAGGCTAGCACGGGGGTTATATGCTCTCTTTTTCGAGTTCCTGTTAGGAGTCGTGCAGCCGCATTTTGAACCAGCTGCAGACGCGCGCAACGACTGACTGACCCCCACATAAAGTGAGTTACAGTCCAGGCGGGAAGAAACAAAAGCATGGATCACTGTTTCAAGGTGCTGCCTCGAAAGAAAAGATTTTACTCTTGCCAGTCGCCTTAAATGATAAAAACTGGACTTCACCACTGCTCTGCTTTGGTTGTCCAGTTTAAAATCACTGTCCAACTTAAAACCAAGGTCAGTAACAACAGGTTTAAAATAGACAATAACCGTGGTTGTGAACCTTTTAAGATTTTGTGATGTGAAGTAAAAATATTTATTTTTAAAATAGAAGGAAAAGAAAGTAACACTGAGAGCTTTTCAACCAGCACAGAAGTGGTTTTGTTCTCGTTTGTAAACCTAAAATATATAAATAAGTAAAGAAAAATAATAGAAAGACCCCAAACTGTCAATGGGCGTTTCTTTTTTTTGACAGTAAGACAAGGGAAGGATTGCTGATACGAGACACAGCTGCTCTAGAGACAGACAGAAGCGTCCCGATGGATAAGCAGTAACCGTGTTTCTGTGTTCGCCTCTCAGGTAACGCTGTCGGTCCCCCAGCTTCCCGCCCTCGCGAAGGAGGAGTCTCTGTCCTGCCTCTTCGGGCTGCTCCCGCCTCAGCCTGCCATTGTCATGGGAAACAGCATCACCTGCCAATCCCCTGCCCCGGAGCACCTCCCACCTCTGCCCACAGGAAGCGGTGAGTAGGAACTGTGGGCGCGTTCCAATCCTCCATAATACCATCCTACTTAGCGTGCCAGAAACAGATTTAGTGTGTCCCAGTACACAGTGTTTCAGAACGAGTCTGCCAAAAATATCAGGAGGTTTAACTGCATGTGAAGCATTTTACAGCACGCAGCAGTTTGAGTCCGAGTGCAGCACGCAGTGAAAACGTCTTCATTCAGGTGTGCTACTGCTCTCACCTGCAGATCACATGATCCTGCCCGTGTCACTGATGTTTGGTCATGTGACCGTCACAATGGGCGACATGACCTTCTATGACTGCATGGCTGTAAGCCGACTGAACCAGAGCTCCCAGTAAGTCCCGTAGGCACAGTGACGGTGCTGTACGTTTATCTGAATCTAAACCAGTGATGGAGGAGACGCTGAAGGCCGTGGTGTGTGTTTCAGGTGTTTGGCGTGTGTCAGCAGTGTGTGGCGCTGTAACTGGTGTCCTCTGGATCAACTCTGCACTCACAACCACAGCTGTCCAAACCAGCACATCATCCTCAACCACAGAGTAAGACGGCCCGCTGCCCCGTCCGTCTCCATCTTTTTGTCCGTCAGCCTGTCTCTAACCCCGCCTCCTCTCTGTCTGCAGGACTCTCCTGGTCCTACTTCCTGTCCGCTAGTCTACGACCTACAGAGCTCTGCTTTAGTTCCCATGGGCCTGAGCGCCACAGTGGTGCTGCGGGGACGAAACCTGGACGTCTACACTGTAAGTCCGCGTCTCTGACCTCATTTCAGTCTGACGGGGATCGAAATGGAACTTGAGAACACTGTCAAACGCTGTTAGTAATATTTAGACCACAAAATTAACACCAAAAAAACCTGTAAAAACAGTCTTTGTTTGAAGTGGATGAACATTAGTCAGATCAGACTGATATTTCATGTTTTGACTGTCTGGTGCCGCAACGTCTGCTGTAACCTCCCAAAAAGTGACACTTAGCGTAACCAAGTTAGAGCTTTTGTTTCTTGGAGCCTGGTTGTTGTATCTGGTTGCACTGCTACACTGTTCTCTGTCTGAGTGTGGCGTGCATATAAACATGAAGCCGATCTGATGCTGTTCAATTTAGATTTATTTATATAGCGTCAAATCACAACAACAGTCTTCCTTAAGGTGCTTTATATTGTAAGATAAAGATCCTACAATATTACAGAGAAAACCCGAACAATCAGATGACCCCTATGAGTAAGTACTTGGTGACAGTGGGACAGAAAACCTCCTTTTTAGCAGGAAGAAACCTCCAGCACACAGGTGTCGAACTCCAGGCCTCGAGGGCCGGTGTCCTGCAGGTTTTAGATGTGTCCTTGATCCAAGACAGCTGATTTAAATGGCTAAATTACCTCCTCAACATGTCTTGAAGTTCTCCAGAAGCCTGTTAATGAACTAATCATTTGATTCAGGTGTGTTGACCCAAGGTGAGATCTAAAACCTGCAGGACACCGGCCCTCGAGGCCTGGAGTTTGACACCCCTGCTCCAGCAGAACCAGGCTCAGGGAGGGACAAGAGACACACTGTGGAAAAGAGCCAGAGATTAATCATAACTAACGATTAAATGCAAAGTGGTGAATAAACACGTAGAGAGGTGAGTGAAGAAGAAACGCTCAGAGACTGAAGAGTGTAGGAGTCTCTGTTAGTTTCAGTAAGCCTTGGCTCCTCATCGTGTTTCTACATCTGTGTCTGCAGCAGCTGTAGGCAGGTGTTTCCAGGAGTGCGTCAGGTCTTCTGGCTCCACAAAAAGGACATTTTTACTCGATATCTGCTTGTTTGTTAACAGCAGCGAGTTCGAGGCAGCTGAGAGAATCATAAATACATTTTCAGTGTTTTAGTTTGAGCTAATTATCAGGTTGGATAAATTAATTTCATTCTTATGTAAACTGACATTTATGAAGCCTGCGTTCAACTGCAATAACTCTGAATGTAAATAGTAAAAGGCGCAGAATCCTCATCAGCAGCCTCAGTTATTTCTTCATCTTCAGAGCCGTTGTCATCAAAAAACCTCCAACATCAGATAAAAATTCTGCTTTGAACTAATCCTGAAAGCAGCTGCAGCTCCGTCATGTTACTGTGATAACATGCACTTAAAAAGTATTGCTTTCAATTAAAATAAACGACCTCCTATATTATGTTCAGCATGTGCTGCAATTTATGATTTGGGACTTTCGGTTGAATTTATTTAGGTTTAACCTTGGTTTACTCTTCTTAACAAGAAACAAGATCAACGTGTGCAAAAGCGCAAAATCCTGTGAACCTCTGTGTGCAGATAGTGAGAGGGTCGATAGCAGGGATCTCAAATTCATTTTACATCATGAGCCACATACAGCCCACTGTGATCGTGGACCAGTGAAACCACACAGTTTAACCACACATCTAACTCCTGAGATGCTTTAATACAACAAAAAAGTGCAAATTCAACAATACATCTCAGTTGGTCTGTGTGATAGAATAATGATACTTTTGGCTTAAATTGTAAGAAATTAATGTGTAAAACCTTTGTTAGCTCAGTGCGCAGATTGTTTTTTGTTAATTAACATGTTTTTCCTGTGGACTCACTGTAAAAATCATGAATTCCTGTAGTAGTGAAAAAACGGGAATGTTCTGTTATTTAATTGTTTATATACATCGTGTTTACTTTCGTGTAGTATTAATAGGCGTGGGGGAGGTCTTTATCAGTAGTACAAGCTCACGTCACTGCAACCCCCCCTGGCTTCTGCTCCGCGGCTGCTGAGTGACCCCTCATCTGGGACTCTCCTCAGCTCTTTCTGGGACAGTGGCACGGCTGCCCCTCTGTTGGTCGTCCTTGGTCTCTTGTGTTCTGGGGGCCTCTGGATGTCTGGAGTTTTGATCTCCTCCATACCTGCTTCATGCCCTGGTGGACGGGGCTGTGGCCCCCCCACACCCTCCAGCAGATCATAACATGAAGGAACCTTTTAAAAAACAAGCGCGTCCATGCTCACAGGTGTACACACGGGTGCTCACACACACAAACTACCTCAAAGCACACTCTGCTCTTACGTGCTGCACAATAATGTTTAATATTTAGTTTTTACTGTTATATTCCCATATATCATTGTGATGTTGTTTATTGTATTGCTCTCGTTTTCTTCTGCTTGTTTTCTTTTTTCTTTCTCAACAGGTGATCCAGGTGATCGATATATGTATTTTTTTTGTCTGCTTATTTAGTTGGTTTTTGTTTTTTTGCCCTTTATCCCCGCCCCTCTTCTCCGCTGTTTTTCCCCCTCTGCCTTTCTCCCTTTTCTTTTCCTCATTCAAGTCTGTCCCGTATCTAGCAAGTGAAAATAAAAAATAAATAAAATAAACAATAAAAGGTGAATCAAATAGACCATTACGGGAAGGCTGGGATGGTCCATTTGGTAAAGTAAATCCGTTGGGCATCTTTCCTCGCCTTTAGACAATAATTCTGATGGCAAAAAAACCAAACGGAACAGGCAAAAAATAAATAAATAAATAAAAAAATCAGAATCTAAAAACACAGTTAAAAGTGTAGATTATACACCCTCCTTCACATTTTCAAAGACTGGAATCATTGGCAGGCTGATTCTAGCCCCCAGGCTTTGTCTGGTACCTACTTTACAGAGTTTGGCCGTTTAGATGAAATGTACCAGATAAGGCAAAGGTATCCCGGGTATGTTGAACTACTTTCGTGGTACCAGCCTTCGGGCGTTGGTCTGTTCTATTGACCTGAATCACTAAAATCAAACAGCTGAGTGTCTGTGTGTGTGTCTCTGCAGGATGAAGCTCCGTATGTGTGTGTTGTTGAAATCGAAGGATCCCCGACTAATCTGACAGCTTCTGTGGAGAAAATGCACGACAACACGCACACCTTCACCTGCATGCAGCATCAAGTAAGAGACGCACGCAAACACTTTTGCAGATAATTAGTTAATGGCAGTAACCACACAGCTGATATTTAAAGTTCTGTCTGTCCACCTGTCCCACTGTCTGTAGTTTCAACATCCAGTCAGTCAGCTTCAGTATTCTGCTCCTGTCTACCTGCGGAGAGGGGAACGACGCATTGATGCCTCACCTGGACTCCGACGTAAGAGCCTTACCTGTGTGCAGATGTGGGCGTTGGCCTCCTTTACTAATGTTTAGATAAAAAATAAGTACACACATGAAATTACACTTGGATTCATGACAACTAGTGAATCAGAGTGTTGTGTCCCCTGAATCCTGAACTGTATGTGATACATAAACTAAACACAGACCAGGAGAAGAGGCAGCAGGGAAAGGGAAAGCTCCAACCTACGACAAAAGCCTCGCTGCAGTTACTGAAACCATATGTGGAATATTGCCAAGAAATGAGGGTTCAGCAGTAAGGATGAAAGGACATCAATTTCATGGTTATTTCACACAGCTCTAATACCAAAGCATTAGAAAATGAATGGTTTTAAATGTTAAAGCATTTTAATAATTCTAATTTAAACATTTGAAACTCAGATATTATCTTTATTAAGTCTTTTTTTATATAGTATAAAAGATCAATTGCTTATTAGAATTAGAAACGAGCAACTATAAATTTAACTCTATTTTTGATATTGTTTCTGGTATTAATGTCACTACTAGTATTATTCAGTTTAAATATCTGCATTAACATTTTCTAGGACAGCTGTGTGTCATTGTATACCCGTGCATACAGTCTGAGTCTGTGTGAAAAACACTCACTCACACAGACTCATGCATTCACACAGTGAATGAGGCCCACTGTGTTTGACCAAAGTCTGGGTGAGGATGGGGGTTAATGTTTTCACAAAGACAGAAAGAGAAATGCATTCATGATATTTGTCTCCTTTTCTTATTAATATACAGTCCAGCTGTATGACTGCTCAGCTGGCCAATCAGATTGCTCACAGTGCAGGGCGGTGCCTAAAGAGTACGGCTGTGTATGGTGTCCTGGAAGCCCAGCCCCGAGCTGTGTGTACAGCCGAACCTGCTCCAGTAAACCTGCAGACACCTGCCCGCCTCCTCAGATCATAAAGGTGGGTCTCGTCAAAGTTCATGTAGAGGAAGTCCCGCAACTGTGCACCATACTGGATCAAATCCAGGCAGTAATTCTGATGCCCTGTCTGAGTGAACCTGGTATAACTTTAATTTCAGTGGTCACTGGGACCTAAAAACTGCATGTACAGAATCATCAGTCACATCCAATAAAAGCAGCTTCAAAGGTGGTTATTGGCTATTTGGGGGCAGGACAGCTGCCGTCTTTGTGTTCCTACAATTCTCGCGCAGATTTCCATCTCTCGTCCTTTTATAATGATCGGAAGATCAGTCTGTGTGTCTGCAGAGCTCGTTCAAACTGTTTCTACCTGTCTGTCTGCAGGTGGAGCCTGCCTCCGGTCCTCTAGAGGGCGGCATTCTAGTGACGATCACAGGATCGAACCTGGGCATGAAGTATGAGGATGTGGTGGGCGGAGTCACTGTGGCGGGTATTCAATGCCTGCCTCAGTCTAAAGGTTACAAGATCTCCACCAGGTAACATGATGATTACATTAGTGTTTACGGGATTC